TCGTGACAGAAACAATATTCCGAGATGGAATTCCAAAGTTTGGTGTATATACAGCTCTAATTTAGACAATATTGATAAATGACATTAAAAACATGATGCTCGTTTGAACTAAATTTTGATACTTCATTATTAAAATGCGTGGTTCTTGATATACTTGAGTACTGAATCCTAAATGAAAGAATACAAAAATGTATTAATTTCTTGGATTGCTACAATTGGGTAGGCAATAATGTGATCTTGGAATTGTAAATGTATGCCATATGATCGTTAATTTTATAGAAATAAAATACCTTTGTGTTAAATACGTCTGTGATGATGACATTGTGAGCTATATTTTTATTTTTTAATTTATTTGCTTGTGTGGCTTCATGGAGGGGGGGGGGGGGGCGAGAAACCGTTCATCCCGGTGATTTTGCTTTGTCTGCATGATTTTTGAAGACACTTTCTTCTTTTTCTTCTTCGCCATTATTTTAGCTCCCACTCACGTGGGTCGCTCAGTGCGCACTATACTGTATATATAACCACTATATATATACCATGTATATGAGAAATTAAAAGTGCTTGAGAAAGAAGTGCTATAATATATGGGAATAATGTTTCATCAAATCAATGTGTTGTACATTCAGGAGATTGTTGAAAAGCATTTCTATTCTGCAAATTAACAATCATAAAAGAAAGTAGCAGAAGCAAAGCTGACACGATGGATCAGTAGGTTTCCTCTCCAGTTAATCAAGAGTAGTAATATACTATTCATCTACTTTTGAGCTAATCTATCTAAATAATGAAGGCCCGGCTGTGGCGGGCGTTAGCGGGCGTCTGGTGGCCACACCCGAACTAGCTGAATTATTCTGCGCAGTCGGCCGGACCATTCACGCATAACTGAGACTTAGCCGAACATTTCCCAGTGGGCGTTCACAAAGGTTTCCTTTCTAGCTAATCTAGCTCAATTTTGGGGTGGCGGCAGTTGGGCGGGTCTTGGCGGATACACCACTAACTGACAATTCTGGCAGTGGCTATTCAACGATACCTGGCCGACTATGCTGAACATATTTCCATGCGTGCCAGAAGAATTTCCCTTTTGAGGCTAATCTAGCTCAATTTGGGGCGCGTATCGGTTTTTTAAGGTCTGGCGCCTATGCGCCCACCACTAAATAAATTCTGGCAGTTGTCCATTCACTGAATACCTGGCGACCATTGCCGACATTTTCCATAGGCTTTCATGGGGTTTCTCTCCAGCTAATCTAGCCAATTTTTTCAAATTTTTTTTTTTTTTTTGGGCGTGGGGCAGCTTGAGGGCCGTCTTGGCGGATACACCCACACCTGTAATTATTCTTGGCATGTGGCCATTCACGATACTGGGACTATGCTGAACATTTTCCAATCGCGCTGCCCAGAAGCGTTTCCTTTCCAGGCTGATCTAGCTCAATTTTGGGGTATCCGGTTTTTAGCTCTGGCGCGCATGCGCCCCCCACTAAAAATTCTGCGCAGTGTCCATTCTTGATACCTGCGGACCATGCCGATCATTTTTCAATGAGAGGTGCTATGAGGTTTCCTTTTCAGCTAATTAGCCCTCCAATTTATTGGGGGTGGCGGCAGTTGGGGCGTCTGGCGTGCGAATACACCGGGCACCACTGAATTATTTCTGGCAGTGGCCATCACGATACCTGGGACTATGCTGAACATTTTCCAATGGTGTTTCCAGCAAGGTTTCCTTTCAGCTAATCTATGACCTCAATTTTGGGGTATCGGTTTTTTAGCTCTGCGGCGCATGTCGCACCACCACTAAAAATTTCTGGCAGTTGGTCCATTCCTGGACACTGCGGACCATGACCGAACATTTCCAATAGCAGTTTCATGGGGTTTCCTTTCAGCTAATCTCATGCCCTCAATTTTAGGGGTGCCTTTCAAATGACCCACTGACCACACCCACCGCGGCTACCTGCCAGCACTTACTTTCCTTACATGGGGTATGCCTACACGAATCATTTGGCTATGTGCAATGAAATTGGTTTCCTTTCCAGCATAGGCTGACCCCCCTGTGGGGCTCCCGGTCTATATGTATGTATAGACACTGGCGTTTAAATCGCCCGTAGTGATTATTTAGTTCGCGTTGTTACGGTAGCGAGATATATGGTCTTACGCGTCGAATCGCGCGCGATGATGACTCGAGTCTGGCTCGGATCATACCTCTAATACCTACTAATAAACATACCTCTACTTCCTACATCTTACTTCTCACTTTGTGACCGGCAACCCCCCCCTTCCATATCTCTTACTTCTCACTGGACGACCGCGAACCCCCCCTTTTTTCGGCGCTCGGGTCTTTTGGCTGCCTCTGCCTTGTCGCGATCCTTTTGATCGAACTCGTAAAGGACGGGGTGTAACGCCTGTCAGGGTGGTGCGCGACACAACGGCAAGCGGACCTATACCACGGCCAATGGTATTGCTCAAGTAGCCCGTTATAGGTGGAGAGAATAGGAAATCCGTTACAACTATATTGTAGTTATGTGTGCAAATATCTGCCGATTAGGATAGCCAAATATTTCATTATAACTTTTACAACTTTGATGTTTGATGTTGCTATTGAGGAATATATATATATATATATAATATATAGTATTTATATATATATAGTTGTAAATCATGTTGTCGTTTTTATTGTAAGTTTATTGTTAAACTGGATTAAACGTATTTTACATTTTGTAACTGTGGCTTGATTGCATACTGTATGTGCAGCAGTTTCTATATATGTCGTAAAACATTCCACTACGTGATATATATCTCAGCTCGCGTAAACACTGATTTTGTGTAGTATGTTTGTTTTCCATTGATATATATATATATATATATATATATACAGCTATATTATATGCACGCACGCACGCGCACATACACAAATTACGTTTCAGTAGAAAACCCACGTTATAATCACGGTATTGTGAATACATTAACTAACGTTATTTCAACGTTGCCAGGACCCATACAATAACGTTTTATGTTAACGTTACATGAAAACGTTTTTACAAACGTTATATAAACGTTATAAAAACCCTACACATTTACGTTATATAAACGTTACAAAAAACGTTATTAAACATTTTTGTCATAACGTTATAAAAACGTTATAATAACGTTTTTGTGTTAGCTGGGTACGCAATCAGGCGTGAGCGCTTTCTCGAGTATATGAAAGTTCCAGTAATGCTTCCGTTTTATTATTATTATTATTATTAGTTTATTATTATTATTATTATTATTAGTTATTATTATTAGTTAAACGCTTTATATAATGCGGTGACCACTGTCTCCGTACTTTGTTGGTGAGTTGATTCTTGCGGCATGTGACTCTGTTTGTAGTCGATATAGAAGACGCCACCTAGCGCCGCTGCGCTGCCGAAACCAATGACTCCAGATAGAATGAAGACTGGTTTCACCATCTCCGTATAGTCCACTAGGAATCCTGTAGTGATACGAAATTGCAAAATTGTAAATTACGAGGTAGAAAATTGTAGCGTACACATGTTGCGTAGCGCACACATGTAATCGTAGCGCACACATGCAATCGTAGCGTACACATGTTGTCGCGTGAACGGACCTTCGGACAAATTCGCTTCACTTCAATCTAAATTTAATAAATAAATGGATCGAGACACTGAAGATCAAGTGAGCGGCGGGCGTGATAGGGACAGCCATGTTCGTGTAAGGGAAAAGTCATGCTTTGTGATTTGGCAGAGGTTAATAAATTACCATTGACTTGTTACGGATGGAGATTACTCGATGGAGTGCAGCTAGGTGAACCATTTATCATAGAATGAAGGCAAAGGGATAAGGTCTATATAGGAATGATATATCAAATATCACGCATCAGTTGGATGAACGCGGACACCATGCAGACTAAACACGATTAACGGGAGCCTAAAAGCTATAACTAGTAGTAAACTAAATAACGGTAGAAATAAGTCTGTCAACGACTCCATGCGCATCTCACTTCACACCTGTACCTGCAACAACACATTATTAGTAAATCTGTCATGACAACACACATCTGGCGAGCCAAATCGTACGCGAGCACTCACCTGCTGCAAGAGGTCCGATGAGACCTCCTATACCATAGGAAAAAAGGTAGAACGCCTGAACCATCGGTAGATTCTGTATGCCGAACAAATCCACCAGCATCGTCGTTTCCAGGCTCGCTCTAGCGCCGTAGGCGCACCCGTACAGCACACAGCAGATCACGAACACCCACAGTTCGCGTGCGAGCAGGAACAAGAAGTAGGTGACGCCGAGGATGATGGTCGCGACGACGAAGACGATGCGACGGAAGAACCACGAGCGGTCGGCGAACAACGACACGATGAATTGCAGCACAACGTTGCAGATGCTGAGAACTGTGATCATGAGAGCAGCCTGCGAGAGACTAAAGCCCTGCCGGACGCCGTACAACACACCGAACGTCACGAACACGCTCAGACTGAACGATTTCAGTAGATAATTCAGGCAGTGCAGTACGAACTTCTTCGTGTCCGTAAGCGGCATCATGAGACGGCCGCCCTCGCCGCGGCGCTCGGCCAAGGCGTCCTTCGACGATTGCGGTATTTCCCGGAAGAGGGCGCCAGCTGCTACGCTCTGTAGGTAAATGCCGGCCAAACTGATCATCGCACCTTGCCAGGTGTAAAGCTCGATTAGCTTCACACACAGCATGGGTGAAATTAGCGCACCCACGGCTCCGGCTGTTGCTCCCAGTCCATTCGCCAGAGAACGCTTCTTGTCGAAATAAAGTCCGTTAATGACAACGGAAGGTGTGAAAATCATTCCTCTTCCAATGCCTGCAAGAAACCACTTCAATAGTTAGAATATTATTGCATCAGTACTTTAGCTACACTGGCTCAAGTGTCCATAGCATATCCGCGNAGGCGAATGATAAACCAGAGCTAATGACTGCAGCCAGGAATATATATCAGTCACTAAAATACACTTTAGACAAATATTGCATTCAAATGCATCATGCATGCTACAATAATCATTCCATCTGCCTTACCTTGAAATTCTCTTATTTTGTTTCGGTATCATCCATGACTAACTCATTTTCAGACCATTCCACACCATCCATAGTCACCAAGAACAAGTGCATCCTACAATTAAACAAGATTTAGCATTATCAACACATGCTATCAATGCAGCCACATTCACTGATCAATGACCATTACAGCAACTTGTGACATACGCTCAGAGTAACCAGTCAGTCACGGCAGACACAACTGCATCAGACTGGGGCGGTAAGTTCCTCATCATGGCTCACACTAAGTAAAAGGTTACACAAATAAACTGTTGCGGTGGGCAGGATAATGACTGACTGGTTACTCTGAGCCTTTTTCTTAAGCTTTCCATGTAATGGTTGTTGATCCAATAATGTTGCTGCGTTGATAGCATGTATTGATAATGCTTAATCTTGTTTAGCAGTAGGATGGATCTATCTGCAGTGACTACTGGTGCTGGGGAATTGCTTGAAGACGAGAAATTGCCATTTATGATAACGAAACAAAATATGAGAATTCCAAGATGAGGCAGCTAGGAAGGTAATTGTAGTAAGCATGATGCATCTGAATGCAATCTTTCTGTAATGAATTTTAGTGAGATTAGGCAGACACAACTGCATCAGACTGGGGCGGTAAGTTCCTCATCATGGCTCACACTAAAAGGTTACACAAATAAACTGTTGAGGTGGGCAGGAAATAATCTCACTAAAATTCATTACAGAAAGATTGCATTCAGATGCATCATGCATACTACAATTACCTTCCTAACTGCCTCATCTTGGAATTCTCATATTTTGTTTCGTTATCATAAATGGCCATTTCTCGTCTTCAAGCAATTCCACAGCACCAGTAGTCACTGCAGATGGATCCATCCTACTGCTAAACAAGATTAAGCATTATCAATACATGCTATCAACGCAGCAACATTATTGGATCAAAAACCATTATATGGAAAGCTTAAGACAAAGGCTCAGAGTAACCAGTCAGTCATGGCAGACACAACTGCATCAGACTGGGGCGGTAAGTTCCTCATCACGGCTCACATCAGATGAAAGATAAAACAACGAAACGCTCACTGCAGGCAGGAATAATACTCAATTAACTTCAGGACACACTCACTTTCAACAAGTAATACTAGTGTTACAGCAAATTACACCAAAGTGACAAAGGCTGCTCAGCTTTCGTGTGCAATACTTACCGACAGATTCAAATAGGTCCATCAACTCAAAGACGAATGTTCTCACACTTTGCAGGGTCAAGAGAAGACATCTGGTCTTGCACTCAACTGTTAGGTAGAGAGGTAACATGGGTGAATTTTAACAATTGTTTGTAGCCGTCCTCTTTTTGCATACGCATCCACGAATTACAGCGGCAGTCACTCGAATTCTTTTGTAAGCAAAATATACGTTTACACTGTTACACTCTCAGTTATTGGATCCCGCAAGTTAAGAGTATTCATTGTGGAAATCTGCATCAGTGAACCTTGCATCGTCAGTGTCGATCAGACGGCACTTCCTAAACATCAAGGTTGTCTTCATCACATGCGAATCTAGCAATGTTCACTATCATCTAGCAAAGCTTAATGCACTCAATACGCACCAGGCACCACAGCTGCCGAGAGAATGTTGTAACCAGGCCAGCCTCCTCTATTCTTATCCAGCACTTCCAACGACATCCCACACATGGTCAATACAAACCTGCAACACGATAACTAGATGGTGCAAAAGCTCAAAATTACAAATACGTTGTTATCATCTTTCTAGCAAAACCTAGCTAGTTGCATAGCAGCAATATAGCACATGAACACATAAAGCATGTTGGCCATAATGCACGACAATGACCTCAGAAAATGGTAGGTGTATTTTGGGTTGTTTTTCAACAGAAATTTCTGCGTGGTGCATGCCACATATCATCACAGGTCAGGTACAGAATTGTAGAAACCCTTTAGAGCAAGAGTACACACATACACCAAACTCATCCACACCACGACATCGGACACTCTTCCAGGGCTCATGCAGTTCTAATGCCTCATCATTCTACAGTTCTACATCGCTCTTTCAGTCTTTCTGCCGACTCTAGATCCTGCAAGTGCATTAACACATACATTAACATAGTCAATAATGCGAACAGGTAGTTTACATTTATTTATGCTACTTTCACACTAATATCTTGACATTTCTGAATCAGTAGCAATTGTTGTCCAGATTTAGTCCACAGCACCCAAGTATCTGGGCTAGTGGGTGGAGTAGGAAGCATTTTTCTAGCATCGCTCTTAATTAAGAAGCATATATCAATGAATCTCAATATTAAAGTGCAATGCATGTACCCTGCGACAGGCATGGGTTAGCCCCACTAACCAATTCACAGCATCACTAATGTCAAAGGAAATTACAGGATGAAATATGATTTAAAATGCATTATACTTCAACTACTTTCTCAACTGCCTTACCTTTTAAACTTCTTTCACTACTCTGCACAAGTTCCCATATTTTGTCTCGGTACCATCCATGACTAACTCCCTTTCAGACAATTCCACACCGTCCATAAGTCACTAAGAACAAGTGCATCCTACAACTAAACAAGATTAAGCATTATCAACACATGCTATCAATGCAGCAACAATAATGGGTCACCAAGCATTATTGGTCAAAAACTTGAGACAAAAGCTCAGAGTAACCAGTCAGTCATGGCAGACACAACTGCATCAGACTGGGGCGGTTAAGTTCCTCATCACAGCTCACATCAGGCGAATGATAAACCAGAGCTAATGACTGCACCCAGGAATATATATCAGTCACTAAAATACACTTTAGACAAATATTGCATTCAAATGCATCATGCATGCTACAATAATCATTCCATCTGCCTTACCTTGCACGGAAAAATACATTTGCATCCTTGTAATGTAATCACGCAGTATGCATCATACCTAATCAATAAAACTGTTGAACTGCAAGACATACAACTGTACAATGCATTAAGGATTATGAATGAGGATTTTTTTTTTTTTGTCTCGGTACATTTATTGTTATACTGGACTCAAGGGTTTAAATCGCACAGGTGAGTAGAACAGCACTCCCATGAATGCTGGCTTCGGGTCCAGTTTTTTGGCAGTTCTTCCATTGCAAATTTATTTGAAGGAAGATTTTTACCGACTGATATTCCGCTTTACTTAACATGCAAACCGCGTGACGGGAAAGTTTTCCCACACTTCTATCTCTTTTTGCTGAGTGCCTAAGCAGAGAAGGGCGTGTGTACCATTTTTCAAGTCTTTGGTATGACCCGGTGAAAATTAAAACAAGTTACTACAAAGGGTCAGCCACATCTATTAAACTTAGCTATTGCACGCATTTTTGCTCAGAAAAACTAGATACTACTGAATATAGTCTCACCATACAGCGGAATATATCAGCTGATTAACACAACATTAAAAAACACTAAGATTTTATGCCAGTTATAGGCTAACGCTCCATTAGGAGTGTTCCTACTTTGATAATGGCAATTAATGATTAATGATTGATAATGCCTAAACGGGCGCTACTCCTAATGGAAGTATCACCCCAGTTATAGCATAGAAAAATGGATTGACCACATCATACGCAGCAATAAATTTATGCGTATGCCAACTCTCAAAATCACGAAATGGCGCCTTCAAGCCAAGTGCATAATTAAAACCAAAATGACGTGCATTCTGTGTGGTAAATATTGATTGAGTTTTCATTGTCAATAATTCAGAGCACTTTTCTGTCATTGTCATCCCGTGTTAGCCTATCTGACTGGTAATCCACAAGCTTCCTCTAATAACAGACTTTTACGGGCGCTATAGTAAACTACAGCTCCTGTTAGGCGCTAGTATGAAGGCTGTGTTTACACTGCTGACCTGATTTCTGCAAGTGCGACTATATGCATTAGTCTGCACTGTGATAGATGTCTCCGCGCTACCTGCAAAAAGTCCGAGAGATGGCAACGGTAAACATAAACAAGAACGCAAAATTGTAATCGTGCATGATTTTGGTGAATACAAGGTTCTAAGACATTTTATCGTTTACTCTAGACAATTGCTGTTACTCAGCAAATAACGGTAAGGTATCATGAAAGTGGGGAAAACACTAGAAAACTCTCGCAATAGTTACTTTAACAGCATTCACACCCAACTCGAGAATACATGGTCATCCCATTCCTTCTGGAGAGGACTCTCCAATCCTGAGTGGAATGATCATAGTTGCTCCACCAACAATAGGTCCTGCAAATTCATTAAAATGTGTTAGCACTTACCCATAACATCACAGCAGAACACATGCATTTTACATAGTAAATACTTTTTACCCATATGGTAGTCAAACATTAATGCTAAACCACCCTATTGCGGAAATCTGCATCAGTGAACCATGCATCGTCAGCGTCGATCAGACGGCCTTCTAAACATCAAGGTTGTCTTCAATCACACTGTGAATCTAGCAATGTTCACGTATCCATCTAGCAAAGCTTAATGCAGCTTAATAGCCACGCAGGAGCACCACAGCTGCTTTAGAGAATGTTGTTAAGCAGGCCAAGCCTCCTGCTATTCTTATCCAGGCATTCAACGACATCCCAACACATGGTCAATACAAACCTGGCAACACGATAACTTAGATGGTGGCAAAAGCTCAAAATTACAAAAGTACGTTGTTATCAATCTTTCAGCAAAACCCTAGGGCTAGTTGCATAGCATGCAATAACAGCAGCATGGACACAATAAAACATGTTGGCCATAATGCAGCGTACAAGTGACCTCAGTAAAATGGTAAGGTGTATTTTGGGTGTTTTTTGCAACAGAATTTCTGCGTGGTGCATGCCACATATGCATCACAGGTCAGGCACACAATT